TATTTGATTATTTCCATTCTTAAATTTGGTTCAAATGAAGTTCCATCTTGTTGATTATTTGTTGTTGTGGTGGAGCTATGTCCTTTTTACTGGTCAATTGTTATAATACAGGATTTGCGGCCTTTGCCTCCACCTTACAAAACTAAAGAAGATATTCTGCTTTTCTTTAAACTTTATGATCCCCTCAAAGAGGAGTTTCGGTAATTTCTTTGTCCTTTTTAGCTGTAGTGGAATTAAAAATGGTTACTTGACCTCTTGCTTTCTGTGCTGTCAGGTATGTTGGGAGGATGTTTGTGAAGGGCAATGGGAAGCCAATGGAAGTACTCACAAAGATCAATGAAATGGCTGGCTTTGCTCCAGAGGAAGAAATTGAACTTTATGAGGTTGGTGATCCACCTCCTGCATATTATATGCTTGGTATACCTTGTTGCAAAATAATTTTCTTGACCATCTTCTCACCTATTCTCATCCATGTTCAGGAAATAAAATTTGAACCGCATGTTATGTGTGAATATGTAGACAAGAGGGCTACCTTTCGATCTAGTCAGGTATGAAAAATCAATCCTTAACTGCAGGATATTCTTCCCAAAATTTGTGTCCTTAATGGTAGGACCTTGTTTTCCAAAAATTGATGTCATTTGTAGTATTGTACTTTTCTATCTTTTTGTTAGGTGTATTTGTTTTCCTAGCTTTGTAAAATTTCTTTTTTCATCCTTGTTAATTAGTTTCTGTATCCTCTCTCATTCTTTCTTATTCCCTTTTTTTTTCTTTTTTTCTTTTTTTTACAGCTTGAAGATGGTGATATCATCTGCTTTCAAAAATCGTCTGGAGTTGGAAGTGAACAATATCGCTATTCTGATGTACCTTCATTTCTTGAGTATGTCCATAATCGTCAGGTATGTGATGAATATTGTTGGTGGGGAGAACATCTTTTTGAAATTATATTGCTGAGAACTCATCAAAATACATTTTTGCTGCATGTTGTCCTCGTAATTGTTGGTATTTGGTTCCTATAATTAGTCAAGGTCCTGGCAGTCTTTTTTTGCTTGGGTACTAATGTAGCTAAAGAGAATTAGCTTGCAATTTGTAAGTTCAGTTCATCAGTGTATTTAAATAACTGAATTGGGGAACCTAGGACAGTGGCCGATTTTAGGACGTCTACCATTTCAAACCTCATCATTGAACTGAATTTTCAAAAACTTCACTCTATTTGATGTTTTTCTGCTGAAGCTGATTTTCTACCTCACTTGATGATCCATAGGTCATTCATTTTCGATCCTTGGAGAAACCAAAAGAGGATGAATTTTGTCTTGAGTTGTAAGTTCCCCATCTGACCTTCACACAAAATCTATTGTTGAGTAAAGATAATCAGTTTGATTGAATTTTATTCCTCTTGGTGATGCTCCTTTTATTTTCTTTCCATTTTTTCTTTCTCATATTTGGTTTAGATCAAAGTTGCACACCTATGATGATGTTGTGGAAAGGGTAGCTCAACATCTTGGCTTGGATGATCCATCCAAAATTAGGCTTACTTCCCATAACTGTTACTCTCAGCAACCAAAACCCCAACCCATCAAGTATCGAGGAGTGAATCATCTGTCTGATATGCTTGTTCACTACAATCAGGTTACTGGTCATCTGACTGTTACCGTTTGATGTTAGTTATTTAACTTTAATTTAATCCAGCTTTTGAAACTGTAATAATTTCTGAAAAGATGTGTTATTTCTGTTTTGGATAGACTTCAGATATTCTATATTATGAAGTATTGGATATCCCTCTGCCAGAACTGCAAGGCCTTAAAACATTGAAAGTTGCATTCCATCATTCTACTAAGGATGAAGTACGCACAGATACTTAAATTGAATGTTTTATTATTATTATTATTTATTATTTTAAAATATATTTCCAGGTTTTGTTCCTCTTATAGAATCTTGGTTATTTTCTCAGGTAGTGATTCATACTATTAGATTGCCGAAACAGAGCACGATAGGGGATGTACTTAATGACCTTAAGAGAAAGGTAAGGATTGCAACTCTGGTTTTTTTATTTTGGAAATTTTTAAAATATAGATATTTTTCTTTTTCTCTTTTATGAGATATCAATTCAAGTGTCAATATACATCCTTTTGCATTGGATAAGATATGTACCTAATTATGTGCCTTGGCACGATACAGGTTGAATTGTCTCACCTCAATGCAGAACTTAGATTGGTTGAAGTTTTCTATCACAAGATTTACAAGGTATTCACCCAATATTTAGTCTATAACTGATCCATCCCCATCATTGTTTGATTAACATGTGAGGATATATATGGTCTCATTTTTCATGGCATAACAATATTGTCATTCCAGAATCAGCTTATTAAGAAAAGACCTTTGAAGTTTAGTGACAATTATTTTTATAGTTATTTTTGTCAAGCAGAAAACAAATTTTAAACCATGCTAAGTAATATTGAAATTTGCATGCCTTACTAAGGTTGTGGCTTTCGTGCCCTTGTGTTATTATCAGTAGCTTTCCTGGAACCAGGATTCTTAGTTGAATGTATATGTGCCCAAAAAGCAAAAAGAAAATAGTAATGCAAATACTGTTAGTTATATTTAGTGTGCATGGCTTAAGTGAGGATGTTGACAGTTCATCTATGCTCCATTTCCTTTTTCCTTGCTGTCTTTATCTTTTCTTTTAATGTTGCTAGATCTTTCCACTCCATGAAAAGATTGAGAATATAAATGACCAATATTGGACATTGCGTGCCGAGGAGGTATGTCATTTTTAGATCCAATTGAAGTTTTAATGATTCTTTTCTAATTTGTTATTTTTATTTATTTA